ATAAATTATATATTTAAAAAATTTTTACAAATTTAATTACGTGATTTTATTTTTGAGTATAGGTGAAATGTACCATATATATCTAGGAAAATCTGATTCCAATTCCCGGAACCTGATTTCCTAGCATATCTCTTTTTTAGTTAAAATCATTTATTCCTTTGAGTATAAAAAAAAATAACTTTAAAAAAAAAGTTAAGGCTTTAATGATTAATGTATATGTAACAAATTTACTTCTTATAAACCAAAATAGACGGTATCAAATTTATTTTTTCCCAAATAATTTTTTCAATTACAACACATAATTATGCATGAAGAAATGCAACTTGACGTGAGGGAATCTACTGGAACAACCTCGGTACGAGAAGAAACCGGAATTGAATCAACTTCAAACGAAGACAACGCGTTACCAACATCATTTCATAGTTCTAGTATAATAGATCGGAAAAGTAAATTCGTAGCACATGCAAAAAAAGTTACAACCAAGGAAGAAGCTGAAGCATTTTGGAGGAAAATACAATCAACTGAAAAGGGAGCGACACATAATGTATTAGCTTATCGTATACAGTCAGCCGACGGACCTTTCATAGAAGAATATCACGATGATGGAGAAACTTATGCAGGAAATCGTGTATTGACGTTATTGAAAACAATAGATGCAAAGAATGTTGTAGTAGTTGTTACAAGGTGGTTTGGAGGGCAGTTGTTAGGTCCGATTAGATTTGAGCATATACTTAAATGTTCAAGGGAAGTTTTAGATAAGGGATTATTTATTAATACGACTAAATCTTCCGTAACGATTAATAAACGTGCTGGATATACTACTAATTCGATTATTGTTAATGGATGCCAGGTATTATCCAAGAATAGGAAGATTTTCTTGGAGCATTATGAATTTTACACGTGTTTCTCTATTTTTTTTTTGTAGAGAGGAAATCCTATATTACAATTTATACGAAATGTGCCTTGGGAATTTGGTGATATTGTTCCTGATTATGTAGTGGGTCAAACAACTTGTGCTTTATTCTTAAGGTATTTAAATAGTATTATCACGTAGCTTTTATGATTGATTTTTTTAAAAAAATTAATTACGCGTTTATTCTTTAGTCTTAGATATCACCGACTTCATCCTGAATATATTTATAATAGAATAGATAAATTGGTAAATTCTTATGTACTAAGAATTTTACTAGTTCTCGTTGACACTGTAAATGCTAAATAATTTTTTTCTTGATAATTTTTTTTTTTTTTTTTTTTTTTTTTAAAGACTTCACTCACTCTTTTGCTTTAACATAAATTTAGGATAGTCATAAAGAATCTATACGAGAACTCACGAAAATATGTGTTATAAATAATTTTACAATGATATTATCGTGGAGGTAACCTTATTTTTTTTTTTAAATAAAAAAATTTCTTCATTTATCTCAATCAAAAAAAAATCTCTTGTTTAAAAGTTCAGAGGAAGCTGGTAGGTATTTAGAAACTTATAAGGCATTTGAACATAAATCACCTGATTTGATTATGGAAAAAATTGAAAACAATTATTTATCAAAGGTGAATTTAGTATTCCTATTCCTCAATCAACTAGATTTTATTAATATTAAAGAGCTTTTTTTTTTTATTAAAATTAGTTAATACATTGTATGACCCATATTAGATCTGTTAATAAAACAGATGTAGTTACCCTTGCATCCACATTTGGGGTATGTAATATTCAATATATAACTCTGCTATATCCACATATATTCAATCTTTCTGTTTAAATACGTATAGTCTTTAAAAGGTATTATGAAAGCTGCACCAGAAGATATGTCAATTTGTCCCGGAATTGGTGAACAAAAGGTAACATTGATAAAACAATTCATTTTACTATTATGAATAAAAATTAACACTTTTTGTATTTATTTAGGTCAAAAGAATACAAGAAACTTTTGAACAACAATTTTCTGTATTAAAGAAATTGAATAATAATAATAATAATAAGGGTAAAGAAAAGAATAATAATTGATGAAGAACAACAAGATTATAATCTCTATATTCTTTGACTTAATATCTTTTTTTCTTTGCCTATAAAACTTTCTACTTTTTTATTGTTTAACTAATTGTACTACGTCTTCATCATTAAGTATGTGAGTTAAACCAACTTTTTGTGGTTGATGCTTAGCTGAACTTCCCCAAACCAATGCACTTTAACAAAAAGAATAAAATATTAATATTTTAAAAAATGTTCAAAATTATATTTACTATAAATAAATCACTTACTATTTAAATTGTTTAACGATTCCTTTATGAATACTATTACAAAATTCTTCAACTGAACGAAGGTTTTGTCTTAGTACAACTGGTGCGCTATAATCCGGCAATTGTCCCTTTGGTTTCGTGTAACTAAGCAATAAATGTACAGGCGTTAACATAATAAGTGATTTAAAATTCAAAGAACAACATATTCTTTTACTTACATTCTAATTAAATTAAGATATTCCCACATTTTATCTAATAATTCGTCAAAATTCCATTCATGATGAGCTGAAATAGGAACTGCATGCGGAATCTTATAAATCAAGTCTAATTCTTCGATACTAATCTGATCGATCTACGATAACAAGCGAATTTTTTTTTTATTCTTTTTTTTTACATTCTCCTAATATTAACTTTCCTCATCCAGCGTGTTTGTTATAACTTACCTTATTGAGAACATAAATGGCAGGAATATAAATTCTTCCTTCTATAACATCAATTAAATCATCAACGGTAGCATCACACTTAAAATTAACATCAGCATTATGAATTTTATATTCACTAAGTACAGCCTTAACTTGATCCAAATCCAAATTAGATAAAGGTACAGTATTGGTCATATTTATACCACCTTTTTCTTTTTTCTTAAAATAGATATTTGGCGGCTGTTTATTCAATCTTATTCCATACCCTTCTAATTCTGTTTCAATGATCTTTTTATGTGTAAGCGGTTTCAATACATCCAGCACCAAAAATATAATAGAACACGTTCGTGCAACTGCAATGACTTGACGACCTCTACCACGACCATCTTTAGCTCCTTCTACTATACCAGGTAAATCTAATATCTGAATTTTCGCTCCTTTATATTGTAATACTCCTGGTACTGTTGTTAAAGTTGTAAATTCATAAGCTGCTACTGCTGAAAATGTTCCAGTTAATTTGGACATCAGTGTAGACTTTCCTACCGATGGAAACCCAACAAATCCTACTCTTGCGACTCCCGTCTTTGCCACATCAAATCCAACTGTTAATCCAAATAGAAAAAAAAAAAATTTTTTTTTTTTGTTAATGCTTATAACGGGTAAAAATTTATTGTGATAAAAAAAAAAAAATTAAATTATTTTCTCTCACTCTGATTGATGTGGATAATAACGTACCACCACCGCCTCCTCCACTTCCCCCTTGAGGTGTCATAAGTTCTTTACGTAATTTCGCTAATTTAGCCTTCAATGTACCTAAATGGTACGATGTTGCCTTATTCTTTTGCGTACGAGCCATTTCGGCTTCAACTATTAAAATGGTATTAAAACATTAGATTTGTAATAAAATATAAATAAGATGATGGAAAATGACTACCAACTTTCTTTAATCTTGTCAGAAATTGTTGACATTTTGACCTTTAATCGAAGAAGATTGAAGAGAGTAGTCTTGAAAAAAAAAATTTTTTATATCAAATCAAGTATTTGCGTGTGCGACAAATAGGTTCTCATAATTTACTAATACAAATCAAGTAATCATGCGTTCTGTTCATTTTTTTTTTTTTAAGTTGGGTACAACAAAAAATAATATAATTTTACAAGAAACTGCAATGGTAAATAAATTATTCAATGCAATTTTTAACATATCTAATGTTATTTATTATTATAATAAAAATAACATCACTGCTAACCACCATCATGAGATTGTTAGGATATTCTTGAATTATGTTAATTTTTTTTAACACAAGTATTATTTATTGTAGGAAATAATAAAAATAATATTTTTTTTTGAGCGGTATATATAAATAAACATTGTTATATAAGTTTAAAATAATGTAGTATTGAAAGATATAATATAAAAAAGTTTCTGTTATTCATATTAAACTTCTTCATGATTATAAATTATTATAAAATTGAATTAAAGTTGTTGAACTTATCCAGTTTTCTTGAATTGATTTAATAGCATGATCATTGATCATTCCTTTCCTGAATTATAGCTTCTCTGCAATGTCCAATTGGACATATATAAGTTTATATGTTCAAATAGTAAATGTCCGTAATTTAGGAAAGAAATGATCAGATTCAGAAAAGGCAGTATTTGTAATAAGAATTATTTCTCAATAAAGAAATATCCAGTTACATGTGCATTAAAGAGGTGTGGAATTTTTATATGAATATTTTAATACTTGAACTGAATGAGAGTGTGAATTTAGAGAGTGGATTTTGATGATATTTAACATGACTTTATCACGACTTTTTGTAGTTAACTCGTTTTATTAATCTAAAAAATTTTTTCATAATTATGTGATGTGAATTTATAGTATATTTTTAACTGTGTAACAATGCACCTGGCCTGGGTTAACCATTATTATAGTTGCAACATTTAATGAATAATTGTTTCGTCTAAGTAAAAATTTTCATCTAGTTATCATTGATCATTACTAAATGGCAATCGATATCTTTATAAAAAAAAGTTTACATACACTTGGTACCTCATTAAAACATTGAATATGTTTTACACTACCAAAGCATATAGTCCTGTTGAATCTTTTTTCGCTTGTGCCAGAAATAATGTAGCCCCATATTCTTCTCACGGAACTTGCTGGAAAACAATAGGTGGATAACCAGTACGAATGAGATAAATGTCATAATCGAACAACCAACACATCTATTACCATCGATAAATGGGTGAATATGAAGGAAGGTTGAAAGTATATGACATGTGATTATAATTGGATGAAGACCGCTATTTTTGTTGCTCTCATCACGAAACTTTATGAATCTTTCTATTAATGCAGGAACTTCCATTGGAGCTACAGAAAATACTAAGTCATAATCAAATGTTGATAAAAGAATCACAAAGGAATAATAACTCACCAGATAAATAGTATAGATAGAGCTACGTGACTCTACTTCTATCTTCTGAAAATCTCCTGTATATTGAATAAGCTCATCTTCGTTATCATGAATTTATCATCTTTTCCATTGGTGTAGTCTCTTTATATGACGAAGGTCAATTTCGTGTGTCAAATCATACAAAGTACTATAAAGAAAGTGAGTCACAAGTAAATGATTCCGGATTTCAATGACTTCATTTTCTGGTTCATCGGAAAGTGAACTCGGTGCAGGTAACGGTATTTCTGAATCTTTCAGAAATTATCCAAATTATAGTTCTTTCCGAGTGAATTCCAAATTTTTGTGTGTCGTACAATCCTAACATATTCCCTTTTATGGCACAACTTTGTTGTGAAAAACTCACGGTCATACTTCGTAAAAGATCTACAGCTGGGTTTTTTGCAGAGGCTTTCAGAGTATCGATTTCTTTTAAAAAATCGCTATATGTTGTGTCGAGAAGAAATGTAAATCAACTTGTAAGGCGAAAAATTGCAAGTCATAAAAATTTCGTAGCTCATATCATAATTTTGTGTGTACTATTCAAATAGATGAAAGTAGTTCTTCCAGATTTTCCCAGATTTAATAAACTTGATCCATTCTTATGACCCTTCATGAGAGGAACTAAATCTGTAAGTCAGAAGGGAATTGTTTGATATATGGTTAAGTATAATAATTTCAAAGTAAAGTGAAAAGAACTTCTCTTAAGACAGCAAGTCTCTCTTCTACCTATGTCACATTAAGCTCGTAGACTTATTTGTTTGACAAGAATAAACGGAGTTGAAAGTACTTATGGTGACTGTAGGAGAAGGTAGAACTCGTTAAAGGGAAAAGAGTATCTTACGTAACATGATAAAAGATTCTGATTTCCTTCCAATTGTTATCAGTATTTTCTTGTCTAATTTAATCACTGATTAAATTTAATCATATATTATAAGGTGGTAATGTTAAATTGCTTTCCAGTAAACTGAATTTTAAGAAAGTACATTCGCGTGTAAGTTCCTTTGATATTAATCATATTCCAAGAGGTGGTGATAAAAATTATATTTTAAGCCTTACAAATATAAAATTTCATGTCAGTTCTTTGGATAATATTCAACACGGTGGTGATGTTAGAATATTTGATGAAAAATTAAAATTTAGAGAATTATCTACTCCAAAAAAAATTAATCATTCTTCCATCACTTCTAAGGTTGATTCTTCAGTTATTGCTGATAATAGTCCCATGTCTTCTCTCGCTTTAGATGATGTTTCTGAAGATGATAATGATAGTCCTCCCTCACATGAGGAATATCAGACTTTTATATAATACTCCTCATATGCCTGTTATCGAAGTGATGTCTCCTATTATGAAATGTTTCAAAGAAAAAGAAAATATGTGAAGATTTCTCTCATATCGTCAAAACTGGATTTCATGATTCATTTAGGAAGCAAACTGAATTTTTTTCTTAAAATAATTTCATTGATAATGATTAGTACTTTTCTGAAAAAGAAACATATTATTAACATGAAATCGTTTTTGACGAAGTTAACGATGAAAAAGATTTTTAAGGAAATCCTACTTCAATAAGAGAATCCATTATATTTTTAACTGAGAATCCTTTAAATAATTCTGATTTATCTTTTGAAGTAAATGTTCAAACAAAATCATTTTATTATCTAATGTCGATAGAAATTCTATTATAAGACATAAATCCCATTTACTTTCACTCAACAATGTATTTTGGCTATAATATATATATTTTTGAATTATCTATCATCAATATATGTATTATAATAATAAACAAGGTTGTAATAAATGTGTCTTTTGATCTAAATACCATTCGTGACTTGAAAGAATCTTCATCACCATCATTGAGGTGCAGCAAACATTGATCAGGCTAAGATACGATTACTCGACTTAATAACTGATCGAAAATTGTTAAAGCAAAAATTTTGTTTTATATAAATTTTTTTATTTTTCTAGCCGAATTTTGATTACATTGTCAACGACTTTATTGTTAAAAATCACATTTATTTTTTTTGATCTAGACTTGCTCAAAGAACGAAAATAATCAAAAAAAATCATATGTAATTTCTACTCTGATCGCGAGATTACACGTTTAAAAGACTTTGATAACACAAAATAAAATATAAAAAGATTATTTTTCAAATAAAATGAACTGGTTTTGTTCATTTTTATTATAATACAATACTTTATCATAACGCTTTATTAATATAAATACATATACAATTTACATATATCAAAAAAAACGAAAACTACGAAAACTAATAATTTTTTATTTGTTTACCTGACCTTACTAAAACAAATATATGCACACGCAAACTAAATAAAAGGGAAGAAAGATATCCTTATCAAAAACCTACAAAAAAATTGCGGATCCTATCTAATACCTAAACCAAAAATCGAAAAGAAACACAGACTGACAGACGGACAACTGACTAAAAAGATATAACTAAAATAGTTAAAATAAGGAAGAAGAGTAGCAGAAGGGTAGAGGTATAAGAGAAAAGGATATCCTTACTGAAAACCTACAAAAAAATTGCAGGATTCCATCTAATACCTAAACTAAAAATCAAAAATAAACGTAGACGGACAGACTGACGGACGGATAACTGACTAAAAAGATATAAGGAAAAAGGGTAGTAGAGGAGTAGAGGGGTAAGAGAAAAGAAAAAATTTTTGTTAAAAGAAAATGTCATATAATAGAACTATTAAAAACGACTTTAAAGTTTTTATGTGCATATATTTGTCGGGAAGTTGCAGAAGAGAAAAAAAAATAAACGAAATAAAAAGTAGAACCCTTATATATCCGCGATAAATATTTTGGGGTACAGAAATTTTGGGGTATGAATATGCGTAATCGCAGACACGTGATATTTCGTGACACATCAGCTCCACACTAAAAATTCGATTGGATGAGTTATTAACCAATCATCATTTACGAATTTTAAATTAAGCAAATTTCGCTCTATATGGAGTTTTTTATATTTTCCTCTCTGAATCTTATTCGACACGGTTAAGGTTAGGGCTAACGCGCAATTTTATCATTTTTGCATTTTCACGTGATCTTACCATTTTTAACGAGAAAGCTACTGTTCAACTTGAAAAGATCGATAAACTCAAACCTTCTAACAAATATAATAATATGATAAAGTGAACACAACAATAAAGACATACGATCGAACTGAAATTTAATTCGTTTCGACGTCAAATTGTTGTTCATTATCAGCGGTCCATCACGTGTCGAATAGTATACTTATTTGTAATGTAATGGACACTTTTACGAAATGTAGAGAATCGGTTGATAAAAAATAAATTGACAATGTTTATGGTATTTGAGGTGGAAACTCCTAGTTGAGAAAGATTAAAAAATATTTTTGATCAATTCAAGACGGAAAAGTTTTTATGTTATATTAATTGTAAGTTTTGATGGGCCATACATAATATTGAAACTTGAATTGTATTGTTAAATCTTTTTTTGGTGACCAATCAAAATTTTCAAATTCTCATTTTAAAAAAATTCTAGCGGTAATTCGAAATCGAAACATTAATTCTAATAATTTATAAGGAATGCTAAGGGCTTGTACTAAAACGAGTAATAAATTTTAAAGAAATAGTCTTTTATATCCAATTAAATATACTAATAAAGAATTTGCATAGTAAGTTAATGTGCCGATCAACATTTCTTTATAAATGGCGCCTCAATAGATAAAATCCTCAACCGCGAAAGTGACCTATCACGTATCAACTCAAATTCAGACATCTGGACAAACATTTTCGTGCCAGCATAGACGCTCCGGACAATAATCCAATTTTGCCCTTTTTCGATTAAGAAGTCAATGAGTAATTCAATTAGGTTTTCACGTGACTAATTCGATAAGATCATACCACTAGGGCAGTGATGTGCATCTTATGCTTCCAATAGTATAAAATTTGATTGGAAGCTTCCAACCCAAATGAATTTATTAGAGAATTATGCTTCCAACTCTTCCAAAAGTGCTTCCAAGGGTGCTTCCAATCTTCCAAGTGCACATCACTGCACTAGGGAATGGAATCAATTTTTAATCGCGATTATCGTTATAATCGTGCTTGAGAACAACACCCTAAATTAAATCCGAAAAATAAAATAAAATAATTAAAATTAAAAATATAGGGATATACTGTACCGGTATATATGCAAAATAAAAAATATTTAAAGTAGAATTAAAAAAAATAAAAAAAAATCAAAAAATTAAAATCATTAATTTTAAAATAGAAATTAAATTTTTGAGACAACTATACCTAATATTTTGTTAACCGGTTGATTAACATGAAATTAACTATATATAATTTTTTATTCCAAATTATTACCATTCATAGTTTGACATGGATTTAAACCCCCCATCCTAATTATTAATCTCATATTTTTTTGTACGAGCAAGTTTTTACCATTAAACAAAAATGTCTGAAGAAAAAGTTACTACAGATATTATTACTTTATCTCGTCATGTTCTTGATGAACAACGTAAACATAAAGAAGCTAGTGGTGACTTAACCTTATTATTGAATGCTGTTCAACTTGGATGCAAATTTGTAGCAACTAACGTTAGAAAAGCTCGTTTATTGAACTTGTAAGAAAACATTTTCTATAAATTTAATTCATTTGAAAGAATTAATATGATGCATTCACTAAAAAAAAAAAAAATTACTATTTTTAGGGTTGGAATTGCTGGTGGAGCGGTTAACGTTACAGGAGATGAGCAAAAGAAACTCGATGTTATTTCCAATGAAATTTTTATCAATGCGCTTCGTTCATCAGGAAAAGTAGCAGTAATGGTTTCTGAAGAAGACGAAAAAGCTATTATTGTTGAAGACGAAATGAAAGGAAAATATTGTGTTGTTTTTGATCCATTAGATGGTTCTTCTAACATTGATGCTGGTGTTAATGTCGGTACTATCTTTGGTATCTATAAAATTGTAAGTATAAAATTTTTTGAGGTGAATATAAAAATTACATGTTTGTATATTCATATCTTTTGCCTTTTTTTTTTATTTTAAACCCTCTAGAAAGACGGATCTAGCGGAACTATTTCGGATGTTTTGAGACCTGGTCGTGAAATGGTTGTTGCTGGTTATTGTATGTATGGTAGTTCTGCTAATATGATCATCTCGACTGGTAATGGCGTGAACGGATATACCCTTGATAACGTAAATATATATCTTCATCTGAGAAAATTTTCATTATTGCATACTAAATGTTACTTATTTATTTAGGCTATCGGAGAATTTATTCTCACCCATCCTAATGTAAGTATTATCTTCACTTGTAATTCATTTAACTTTAGTCAAATTCTTCATTCAACTTTTTCATTTATGTTAGATTAAAATTCCGAAGCGCGGAAAGATATATTCAGTTAACGAAGGAAATGCAAAATATTGGGATGAACCATGTACCGAATATTTTAATTCATTGAAATTTCCACCTGAAGGAAAGAATCCATACTCGGCTAGGTATATTGGATCAATGGTGGCAGATGTGCATCGTACATTATTGTATGGTGGTATATTTGCTTATCCTGCTGATAAAAAATCTAAAAATGGTAAATTAAGAGTGTTGTATGAATGTTTTCCAATGGCTTTCCTTACTGAACAAGCTGGTGGTAAAGCCATTACTGGTAGAGAAAGAGTATTAGATGTCACTCCTCAAAATATTCATGATAGATGTCCTATTTTTTTGGGTAGTGAAGATGATGTTGAGGATATAGAAACAATTTATAAAAAACATAGTTGTTAAAGGGAAAACTAATTTAGAATAATCTTATTTATTATTGCAAAGGCTCGGAATATTGTTCTCTTTCAACAATAATTACAAAAAGTTGTAAATTAATTTTTGGATTTCTACTATACTCAATTCGGAAATGATTTGATTTTAAAATGTTACGTTTTTTTGACAAACCTTTGAATAAATATAATAAATCGGAATTTATATACGATTGTGAATGTTAAAATACATCATTCCGATATATAGAAATGATGAAATTTTTTTTTTTTTTTTTTTTGCAAATAAAAAAAAATGTTCACCATTTTCAATATCATTATGTAGAAGTAATTCTTTTTCTCAATATAACCACATGACTACTACCGCAAATCTGTAAACTAGAACTAGAATAATTACTCTCATCTGTTAAATCATTTTCATCGTCATCATCATGAGGACAAAATATGATCATTCTTCCCATTTTTTAATCTAACAACTTTTCTTAATAATTTCTTTGAATTACCTCCCGGAAAAGGAACATGTTCTGTAAGAAATTGTGACCATAAAGGTGATGAAAAGTGATGAAGTAATAACATGTTTGATTGTAGTAAAATAGGAAGGGGAATTGAGGTTGGTTCGTATGTAGTCAAGATTAAGTTCACCTTGTGATGTTGTGGATATGATTGAAGATGATGTACCGTCGTGGCCAATGACGTGTTGGGAACTAGATACTGTATTTGTTTAAAGCAGAGGGAAAAGTAGTAAATTACGATTTCGAGATATCTAAATAAAAATCACAAATTGCTCGACCATTTATATTAATTAAACTATACCTTGTGAGCCTCATCCAAAACCACAAGTTTACGAACATTAGATTCGGTCCCATTATTTAAATTTGATTTCAAATTACTTTGGGTATAAATTCCAAGAATAAAGTTGAAAAGTTCTGATGCCATTTTAGCACCAAGTAAAGGATCGCTCAAATCAGCAATGACTGCAACACCTGATTGAAACGATTCTTCTAATGTGATAAAATTATCAAAAAAGTTTTTATTTTGTAAAGAAACTTTCAATTTGTCAACAATGAAAGAATCTAATTTGCCAAATCGTGTGCTGAAAAAAGACTTCATCCTTTGATTGTTGTCACACTCCTCATATAATCGGGTACAAAATTCAGTGTAATTAAATTTGTCGTTCATATGAAAGTACAAAATATCTTCAACCAATTCTTTGGCTTGTTCATGAATTTGAGAATCTCCCACGATATCTACCCATGATTTTATAATATTCCTACATAGATCTTTTTCAGAAAATAATAAAGGAATAACTTCACAATTATCAAAATTCGCATACAACTTTACCATATTTTGATAATTGGAAGGTGTCACCAAAACAACTACTTTATTCGCTCGAGTGCCTTGATCAAAAACTCCAGAATGCTTAGCTGACGTAGCCACTAAAGCACTTTCGCAAGGTAAAGCCATTGTGCTATTGTCAAATCGAAATATTAAAGCAGAATAAGGAGATTCTAATTTTCCAAGACGCGTATTTTTGATCAAACAACCTTCTAGTATGGTGTTCTTGGTTTGACTCACACCAGAATTAGGAAGACCTGTGATAATCATGGAAAATGGATCATCTCCATTTAAATAAACAATTTCATTTGGTGTTGTTTCCAAAACACCCAAACTTATATAATTTTCAAAAAGAGTGCTATTTTTTTCCAACAAAGAATGACGGAACAAATGATTATGATACATCAGTTTTTCATTTACAGAATCATCGCGAATAATTAATTCTTGAATATCTCTCAACTGATTATCATGTTCATTTGTTATGATTGGTTTTGAATGTCTTGGTTGTGATGGTTTTGAAATTTGCTCATTTAATATTAGAGGCGTTTCGGACCTGGATATCTTCTCGTTTTGAGCATGAATTGGTGATAAAACATCAGATTGAGGGGTTGTTGACCCGGACTCAGAAGTGCTTATCAATTGAAACTTTGTTTTGATAAAAGACGTATGTTCCGATTGTGCGGAGCTTGATCTATCGGATTCTGATGAGAGTATATATGGTTTTAAAGACTTATCAGAGTCTGCTGGCTTTGTATCTATTATTGTTTTTCCTCGATCCTCAATTATCCGAGCAGATTTTGTTTGCGTTATTTCAGAAATTAACGTCGAATCCGAAAGGTCGATTTTATCCTCATATTTATCAGATGAGCTTATCGACTGTTTTCTGTTTTGATTAATTGTGACAAATGGCTGGGCTTCATTACCAGACCTCTGAAATGCAAATTCTTTACTATTGTTTATGAGTTCAACCAATTTGAATTCCGGAAATGTGTTATTCCAATTTAATTGTGCAACTAAATTATATAAAGGAACTTTTCCACCTTCAAACAAGATATATTTGCGAATAAAATCTTTTGGCGAAATTTCGTTTAATGCAGAGTTATATTTAACCAAAATTTCACTTTGACCTTGTAAAAGTATAAACTCCGAATAATTTTCCAAAAATTCGACCAATTTACCATGGGGATGCATATTTTTCGTGTTAAGATGATCGTTAATCATTGAAATCGGTACATCACCTTTTGATTTCAAAAATAGACGAATAAGTCGAGCGATATCAATATCGTGAGATCGAATATATACGTCAGTCTCCATAGATAATTTGAATTCAGGAAAAGGTTGTAAAAATTCTTTCAATCTGTTGTTTCGCGGATACATATCCTGGCGTTTCAGAAAATCGCCTATAAGAGAAAGTCTGACTTTACCATGTTCCAGTAAGAATTTACGTATATAAGAAACAATATTAGCATCAGTCGGTTTGAGACGAATATAGAGTTCTCCGTGAAGTCTCTTAAATTTGAACTCAGAAGTGTGTGAATTTACAAATTCGCCTAAATTTATATTTGGTAATGCGGAACGTTCTCTCAAATACTCCCTAATATCCGAAAGAGAAGCGATTATTTGTTTCACTAAAAATTCACGAATTAATTGAATAGTAGGAGTCTTTGGAGAATTGTGTTTATTACGATAAGTGTTAGGTGATTTTTGTGACTGGGGTATCAATTTTATATAATACATATCATCTTTGGAGATACATTCAAATGAATCTTGACAGCTTTTGATAAATTCTACAAGTTCATCGGTGATGGATTCTTGCGTTCCTCTTAAGTATATATTCAACTCTGTACTAGTTACACCTTCATTTCCACTATGTCTAGTAAGATATTCATTTATCAATCGTTCAGTATGAGCAATTCGTCGTTTTAACATGGTTTCCGTAGGTTTCGTCGATTGATTTGAAAGTGAAATGCATGTAATACCTCGTTCAGAAAATATCTGAAAGGCACCTTCATTTTCACGTAAAAAATCTTGAAATTCGGAATTATTTATCACACCCAATAATTTCATATGTTTCTCTAATTCATAAATTGAATCAACTGAACATAAATTAAGATATTTACATGCACAATCTAAAGCTTTACTCTTTGCATTTTGTGAAGCAGTTTGTTGTCCAATTAACTCATCCTCAATTGTGACCGGTTGAAAAGGTGATGTAGAAGTAGGTAATGACGCATGTTTAAGATTAGGAGTATTTTCTGAAGAATCATCCTTTACTGACGAATCATCCTTTACTGAAGAATCCTCTAAAAAATCCTCTCTTGCTGAAAAATCTTCATTTACAAAAGCTGACGCATCTTCCTGTATGATAGAATTGTTGACATCGTTGATAAGAAATTCACCTCGCTGAAGTTCTATCATATCTTTAATATAAGAACCACTCCCAGCTGAAGTCGCTTTAGTTGAACGCGCTACCACTTTTTTTAGCCTAACCCCTCCGGTGCTAACTTCGAATTCGTCTGCGTATTCTTTCAATAACTTTATAAGTTCTTTACCAAGTATTGTAATGTTTTGAGTCTCTAGCCAAACTGATAAGGCATCAATGCCAACAGCCCAGTCAAGATCACCGTCAAAGTATACTCTAACGGCATTGAGAACTTCCGTAACGTTTTCTACAGTCACAGACATTTTAGATAAAGAAGAAATTCAAAGAAAAAAATTCACTATTATTACCATATATATACATATACAGCATAGGTCAAGTTTGATTTCATTGGTTGATCGATAAGGATTCTGATTGGCAATAAATCTTTTTTATAGAGAAAACTTAACCTAAACCGGGGGTTCAGGTTTCTTATCCTAGACCCCTGGGGTTCAGGTTTTTTAATCTAGGTTTGTCTTTGTTAAAAAGTATAAAATTTTGGATTTTGGATTTGACAATATTTATTTTTTCAATCAATAAAATATCCGATCTTTT